CTAAGGAATAAGGAGTGTCACATACATTTACAGTAAGAAAAAAAGCATGCACAATACTAACAGATTATAGGTTAAAGGTGCCAAAGTTCCAAGGGTAACATAATTGAAACTTGTCAAGAAATAAGCTTGAACTTTTTACCAAGATTATAGATTCAGAATGGGTAAAATCAGTTGTTGCATTGTACACGCTTTTCACATTCAAACACAAGTTTTGTACATCAAAAGTCATGCAGGGAATCAAAAACCCACCCACAAAACACTTTTTGTGTTAAAAATAGAAAAATGTAGGGTGAGTCATAGGGATGACTATAAACATTGTGGCATGAATATGGAGAAAAGGCTTTTAAAGTCGATCACTCTGATAGTCTTTTTTAAGGTAAAATCTGGAAAAAAAAAAAAGGGGCCACCAAATCCTCTTGAAATGCATACTTCTGTGCAAAATGGGGACAATATCTATGATAAAGATGTCGATTCTACTCTAATAGCAAATCAAAATCAACTTTAATAGTTTAGTTTTCTGTAAATATACCTAATCAAGTAAAAACCACTGCTGGCTGCCTTAGACCATTGTTACCCTTATAGGTTGCACCACTGAAATTCACAAATGTTTCAAACAAAGCATGGCAGTAACACATTTACTTGGTTGGTTGGTTATATATGCAGTAAATTGGACTCGATCCCATGTATTAATAAACAAAAAGGAAAGAAAAATATATCTTTTCAGATAACATTATCTATTCCACAGTCCTAAACTTATTAACGCAGCCATTAAACACTCCAACATGATCCTAACTCATCTCTTAACTTCCATAAAGCAATAGTGTCTCTAATGAAAGCCATTCTCTTTGCAGAGTGAGGTGATATCCAGCAGCTGAACCTTGAGGCCATGCAACATTTTCAGTCTGATTTCTGCAGATTCATCTCCAGTTATTTGCCTTCCAATCAAGACCTAGTTGGGGATGTCACAGTAGACATTTTCTTATTTTTTTAATCTTTCCTTAGAAAGGAGTAGTGAAGGAGTTGACTGACAGGAAACCCTCCTGATAGACGTGTCGAGGCAGGTGGACACGGAGCGGTGTGTTCTTGTGCATCTTACAAATCCTCGCCGTTTTCTTCCCTGAGGTCAATGTCATCATTGAGAAAGGCTTCCTTTTCTGTCGACATGGCTTCTAATTCATGATCGAGATTGAAACCGTTCATTTCTGTTACTAAAGATAAGCGGGCTGAGGCAGCCTCATTGCTGTGGTGAATACCATAACAGAAGTAGATGACAAAACCTGAAAAGAGGGAGAAAGGCAAGATGAAAAATATGGAAAATCCTGAACAAGACTGAAGAAGCAGTCATTTGTTTATGTAAATCCAGCTAGATTAAGTCACCCCAGTTAAAATTTTGGGATCACCTCTTAGTAGATATTCCATTATCTCATCTATTATCTCATATTCTATTATGTCCAAAAATAACATTTCAATTTAGCTCTATCAGGAATAGACATAGATATAGTAATGATCAATATGACTACCTATAGCCATCCAGATGGAAAATCTGATCCATGTTCCTCTGTCCAGCTGCATCATCAGGTAGACGTTGACAAACATGCTTATGACAGGAATGAAGGGCAGCAGGGGAACCTAAAAAAAAACAAACAAAAAAACGGTGTCACCAAACACCAACAATCATGTAAAAGTTGTCCAATAACTAGATTTTAGAGGCTTGGTGACTTCAAGATGTCCTTCTGTGCTATAGTTTACTAACAGAGAATTTTGGAGATTTTTATTTATTTTATTATTTTTTTTTTTTTACCTGTTTACCACTCCTCCCACATGATGATATGATACAAAGAATATGATGAAAATATGTTGTCATATCAATCTGCAAGGTATTTGTATTGCAAAATACTTTTAAATATTTTAATTATTTACCTGAAAATAAATATGAACAAGTTAAAGAGAGCAGCTGTTTGCTTTGAACATAGTGTGTCCTACTTGAAATACATGCTTCGGTGTCTTACCCCTTCTATGGCTATGAAAACCTAGCATCTGTGTCAAACCATGTTTGCGCCTCCTTAAAATCTTAACCTATAAATGGCCTATTTTGTTTCACAGATTCTGCTTCCATCTTTATCATCAGTCCCTATAAAGTAAGAGTTGACAATTTATACAATAGTTAACTTTAATAGGTTAGTATTGAGTTGGCTGTGACGGAACATGTGCAAATTTAGGATAATAATAATAATAATAATAATAACAACAATAATAATTTTTTTTGTATAGCACTTTTCAAAAAGCTCAGAGACACTTTAAAGGAGACAAACTAAATTATTAATTTCAGAATCAATTCATAATACAGTCATAAAACAAAATATTAAAATCAAATGACTGAAATTCATAACTGTGGGTATTAGATTAAAAATATTTCTATAAAGTGGTTTTTGGACTTAGATTTGAGTTTGGACAGGTCTGTAAATCATAGATGTGTTTGGGGAACCAGGTCCAGTGGCTGAGACGGGAGCTTGGCATCAGACGAGCAGAGACTGAAGACGTGTAAGGGCCTTGTTATCAAGGGTTTTGTGGATATTAAGTTCTCCTATTTATCTAATTACTTGATCCAGGTGTGTTGGACCTGCTCCTGTATTGAGAGGTGATCATCCAGTTTTAGAGTTTGCAGACTCAACTAGAGGTGAGAGAGATGTTGATAGGGTTAATTATAGAGTAGAGTAGAGAAATGGCCGGGAAACAGTCGTCTACAAAGCATAGATGGAGTTGGTTCGTTTCTTGAAGCAACTTTTGAAAAACAACAAGCAGCTGCCTCACCTTAAAAGCATGTTGTATTTTTTTTTTTTGCTATTTACATGTTACAGTGTAATATTTAAAACAGTATAAATTAAAAGAGGGCTTCTGTTAAATCCATTTTATGGGAATTTCGTATGTTCATATAGGTGCAGATGATTTAGTATAAACTAGTTGTTTCAAGTTTTTTTTTTTTTTTTTTTAACCTCTTTGGGATATTGCAAAATGCAATGACCATCGTAGCCAGTAATTATGCAGTTTGATATTGAATTAGCATGTCATAGAGTTGAAAACAGATCTTAAAGCCAAACCTTAAAGGAGAGTTTGGTTTTACTCTCAGGCTGCCTCCATATGATGAAAACCAGAAGAAGACACACCATGAAGATGACACTGAGGACTACCATGTTCCATGAGGCAAGGCCTCCCTGCACAGCCAGTATACTAAAGACCAGGATCAACATTCCTGCAGAAGCAAAGAAGAGATCATTACATAAGAGGAATGAAATCATTTAGGGTATATTAGATATTTCTAATACACCATGAATGCATCAAATCAGATGTATTTATTTTAATTAAAGATCTTTTTTTACTCTACAGAAAAATAATACATTAGCTTTATCTAATAAATCAAGAAAATAATTTTAATTGTATAAATTTTATTTTTCAGGCTAGTGTAATTTGTAAAGGACGTATCTTGTTAATGAGATACGTTAGTATAAATGACACAGCCTACTTGATCCCTATCTGAGATATCCTACAACAACTGGCTGACCTTTGTACTCCTTTTCATAAAAAGACAAATGAGGATCTAAGACCAAATTCAGCATATTTTTATTAAATCTTTATCTTGCATAAAAAAACATACCCATGACGGAAGTACAGATGTTGACAGTGAAGCCTGACAGTGTGGATGGCTCAGGGTTGTTTGGGAAAAGCAGAGTCTGGAAGCTGAATCTCTCCTCCACACCAGGAAAAATGCCCATACTGGGCACACTGATGCCATCACTTAGGTCTGCCTCATCATGGCTGCTGGCCATCTGGTACACTGGGCTGTGGACCTCGGGTTGGTATCTGTACCAAAAACAAAAAACACACATTTGTCCATCAGCTTTTATATTATTTCAACACTACTTAACCTCTTCTGTTGTTTGGAGATACTAATAGTATAATGTATGTCCAATATAAAGCAGTGGTAACTTCTGATAGGAGCAATGTCATTGAAAATCTGAGCTTAAACCAATTTTTCAGTAGTTTTCCTAACTTTTGAAAACAAAATAAATCGATTAAAATAAATAAACAGCATTTTATTTTTAAAAAGGGCCCAAACAAAGAGCATGAAGTTAAACCAACCAATCGTCTTTTAAAGGGAAAAGTGTGAGAACCTGTTAACAGTAAAAACTAAACTAACTAAATAAACTAACTTAAAACAGACTAAAGTTATTAAATTCCTGATCCTCAAGGATAAAGAAAAACAGAGCAATAAATTGCTTGTGCAAAGATTTTTTTTTTTTTACAAATATGATGGGAAGCTTCAAAAAACAATAATTAATAATATTTATAATTCAATTGACATATATGAGACTCTAAAAGGGCTAATAACAAAATTAAAAACTTTAAAAAATATGAAAATGGCAAATATAAAGTACAAAGAAGAAATTATCGATCATAAAAGTTGACTGTCAGACATAGATCAGGAAGCTCTAAACAACGTTCTCAACTCCTTTGCAACATCCACTTGAGCCCAATCATGGAAAGCAAGGTGGGCATAAAAATATGATCTGAGTATTGATGATGGCAAACTCTAAAATGTTTGCGCCGATGTCGCATTCATTTTAGATATACGATTTGATTCGCATCTGGTTTGTAGGGTCCAGGGGAAACAGTAAGGACCTTTTTCATCATTCTGCTTCATTCTATCTCAATTCTCCCACTCTGCAGAATCTGTTAATTCAATCTCTAACCCTATGGTTTCTCTGCTTTTTCTCATAGTAGCTTCATCTGGTCTGTTCCTGTTTGGCTGTGACTCCATCCTGGAGAGAAATATTAGCTGTGGTGCTGCCACCAACACCTTTGTTTATAGATGTTCAAGATCGGCCTGTTTTTCAGTGTAGTCCTGTTTCTCTGATTGTGACCGGCTGATGTGCTCCATTCATTCTCTGACACAGGAGCTGGCTCGAAGCTTGTCTGCTTGGCTGTGTGTTTCCTAGATGGGGCCGCCTGTGGAGCTGTTTGACAGTTACCTTTTGTATCTTTTATTCTTTCTGTATGTCTGCCTCTTTCTCTTTGAACCCCAGTCAGCCATTAATTGTCATTAATTACTTTGTTTCATGTTCAAGAACAAATATTTTGCAATCAATTAGCATTACTCTTCAACCATAAAGTAAAAACACACTTTAATACATATACAAAGACTTCATAGTTATATAGTTTAATAAAAAAGCCCAAACTGACCTTAGCACAAGCACACAGGCGGCCACTAACGTATAAGCAAGCAGCGTTCCAATTGACATCAGGTCCACCAGATCCTTCAGGTCAAAAAGAAATGCCATAATCGCTAGAAATGTGTAAGAAGGAAAGAAAAGGAAAGAGTCGTTATAAAAAGAGTTCTACCTTAAGAAGTACAAAATTAGTGAAGTACAGTCATGACTTTATCTTCATGGGCATCAAGTCATATAAACATCCATGTTTTTCTATCATAATGCGCAAAAGAGCTTAATGACAAGAAACCAAAGTTTGTTTGTTATGCACAGAACCTTGGCGAATAAAGCTAATTCTGATTAACCAAATTATTGCAATAAGTATATTAAAGACATGTTTCAACTTAAAAAAAAAAGAAAAAGAAAACAGCAGATATCTTTTATGTATAATGCCAAGCATTAACTGTTAAATTAGCTTTCATGATGTAAATAAAAATCCTAATTCAATCCAATTTGAGCTGTGATTCAGTCCCACACAGGAATAGCATGACCTGCTTCTTAATGGGGAAATATCTCGATTCTATATCTTTCCTATCATTTGGTACATTATTCTCCTTTCACGAAATTTTGTTAAAAACTTGTCATATTCTTTAGCACTCATAGCTGCCACTACTGACTGCTATTGAGAAAGTGAGAAGGTTAATCATAAAGACCTCACTTATTCATTTCTATTTTTTATCTATTTTTTTACTTTTGAAAATACAGTTTGTACGTCCTCTTTCCTTCCACATAATAAGATTTTTTTTTCTTATTTCTCAAAGAAATCTCCCCTCTTTTTGTTTTGCGTTCTCTATTCCTCTTACCAGACATGACCCCAGCCGCAACAGTGGAGTTTACAGGGGCCTTCCTCTCACTGATTTGGGCCAAAAAGGAGAAGAGAAGGCCATCTCGAGCCATGGCAAAGATGATACGGGGTAGGGGGAACATGGAACCCAACAGACTGGGGTAGAGTGAGGAGTAAAACATAAGATATTGATTTTTTTTGTAATTATAGGGACATAAAAAAAGGAGCAGAAAAAATCGTCAGAAAATGAAATTGTCAGCAAGGTGTGAGCTGGAGATTTCAGGCAGGAAAATGCAAAACTGCCAGGCAGTCTGGAATAAGTATAGAGCAAGGGAGCATGATGCTGTTGGTTTAAAGTCGCCTAACTGTTGACATGCACCTATGCAAGGCTTCACATGCTATACATTCAAACCTCCTTCAAACTTACAAAACATCAAAATGCACTCTCAGTTGTTCAGTTTTTAAATGGACCTGGCAGTTCAGGTAGGTAATCTACCTGATGACAGATTTCTGTCCATTCTCAAAACCAGAGATGGCAAGTTCTCATTGACTGCACATGTAAACACAACTGAGTGATTCAGTGCTGTTTACATAACTTTACATAGTACATTCCTCTATCTAGTGTGTCTATTGAACTAGGGTAAGAAACAAAACTCTGCCTACATAAAATGCTTCAAGGACAACTCACCCGAAATAAACAATTCTTTCACATAAACCGTATTCATGAATGTCTTATAGTGCTATGTATCTGTCTTGGACATTATTTGGACAATTTTCTGCAAATTTGTCAAAACCTTATTTCAATTAAAACTGTCTACTCAAGTTTAAATGGCTGTACTGCATCTGATTTTAATTCACCAACGGTGTTTAGCTTTTCCATTAATACAAAGTCCCCCAGAAAAACCAAAGCCAGTAGGTCTCTCCTGTGGAGTTTAATAAGTGGTGCTGTCTGTACTTGACTTGACTTGACTTGACCCAGAATCTGTCCAAACTCTCTGGAAACGTTACCGCTCTAATGGCCTCTGGGATCTCTAGAGTCCGCAGCTTTAAATAGTATGGCTCTCTGGAAACTTTATCACTCTAATGGCCTCTGGGGTCTTTAGAGTCCACAGCTTTAACTAGTATGAACCTGGTGAATGATATATTTTGTTGTTTTATAAACAAAACTATGACTAAAAACCTGAGTAAATTGCGAAATAAAACAGCGTGATTGGATGTAAGGAGAGCTGAGAAAGAGGAAACTCTTTGTAATGCGTATTACTAAGGGTATCCTGGCCTGACGCGGTATGCTGAGCTGACAGAACACCCCGGACCGGTGGTGTATTTTCTTGTGATTGGCTTATACAAGGGAGCTCTGTGATTAGTGACAAACCATCCCATGTTTAAAAAATTGCATTGGTGTGTCAAGGCACGTCAGGGGAGTCTCAAAAATCCACACAAAATTGCAATGAAGTTTAAAGACCACTTGTAATTTGTAATTTAATTTATAATTTTTTTATGGACCAAAAATACTTTGGCGAATCATGTGCTGTGCATGTGTGAATCTTGTATGCTTACAATTGTGCTGGGTGTTTGTGGATCTTGTACTGTGTGTGTGTGGATTTCTTTGTGCTTGTGTGAACCGTGCTGTGCATCTGTGGATGTTGCTGTGTGTGTGTGGATCTTGTATGCTTTGCATGAATCGTGCTGTGTGTGTGTGTGTGGAGTTTGTCCTGTGCATGTATAAATCACATATGTGTATTTGTGAAAACTGAGAGGAAACAGCAAAGTTATGAGATATTTTGAAAACTAGCTTCTGGTGGAGTGGCGTCATCTGTTGCTGATTGGCTATTATCTCTGCAATGCAGGGGGAACTGAAGCACGTGGCTTGATTCTACAGAACAAATGCTTTCATTTTATATGTATTTTGTGGATGTTTGATGCATGGTAGTGGCTGGGAGACAGAAATGTTGCTCATAGGTTGCTTTTGTGCCATGCATTCATGTTTTACATATTTTATTTCATTTGGATATAATTTTAGTTGTACTTTAAAAAAAGGTTTGTACTGTCTTGTAGCCTAGGTTTTGGAGTGTAATTTGATATGCCACATTGCTATATTCTCTGTCATTATTGCATTGTTTATCACTGTTGTTTTTGAGTAAAGTACCTAAAAAGGTACTTCTCAGGTTCAGAGGGTATTATTTGTTGATGGAAGAGAGGCTAGTGAGAGAAGAGTTGTTCTTTAATACAACTCTCTGCTGCTCAGGGAGCCGCTTTCTACCAGGTATTAAAAGCAGACTGTCTGGGATAACGAACCCAGTTTTTTACACATAGAAAGAAGATACTGTGAAAAGAGATTCAAATTAAAGACATGCATGTTAGTGTCTCACCTGCCCCCATGCCAGAGGCAAAGGTTGTGGTTAGCGGGGTTTTGGTAAGAGGGCTGATCTCAGCCATGAACTTGAAAAGCAGCCCATCATCAGCCATCGCCCACAAAACACGGGGCAAAGGGAACATGGCACCCAGCAGGCTGCCATAGGGGGAGAGCAGGATGCATACACTTCACTTACACCCAAGAGAAGTTCATTAGACATACATGAACAGAGAAAGCAGCTCACACATTGTAGAAACACAGACAGGGTAAATTTAGAAGATAAAAAGCACAACATTTGAAGATACAGCACTTTCAAAACTTCCTCACTTTTTTTGTATTTTGTCTGCAAAGTGTCAGGCTTTTATGTTATTTCGTGTGAAATCATCTTGTGATAGGGTTCTTACGATTTTTTTGGAGGTTTGTTTGATATGATGATGTTGAATGTCAATCCAATTTAAGTACCGAACTGTGTTAAAAGGAATTGATTCTTGTTTAAGTGACTTAAACCAAGTTGGAATAGATAAAGCATTAAAATTACAGATGCCATGAGGCACTGACTAGTGGCTAGCAAAAAATATGTTCAGCTTGACCATTCTTTACAGTGAGAAACTCAAAACTCCCAATTGGTTTCTAATCATTGAATGCCTCATCCTAAGTGTTACCCAGAAAAAGGATTTGGAAAGAAAAGACAGATTTAATTTGGCATGTTAGCTGTTGTTTTATGATTTATTTTTAATAAGTTAGGTTTGCTCTAACAGTTTTTGTTAGAAATAAATATGTAATTAACAAAAACCTCCAAGAACAACTTTAGAACCATTGTTCAAAGGCACTCCAAAATACCTTATTCAAAGAAGTCTAAGATAAAATCAAATTGCCATTGCTGGTGACCTTTTTGAATAGCACTGTAATATGGTATTCTGAAAACTGAACAGTCACTACAGAAGCATGCAAGATATTTCAAAACAAACATGCACATAATGCAAAAGCCCAATATTAAACTAAATCATGCTACACACTTATGTTGTTACATCCTTATAAATCATATCTTTTGCACTCAAAACACTGCACAGAAATATATACACTAAAACATAAATTGATAACTGAAACAAAAAAAAGTAAAACTTCTTAAGATGTTTTGTTACATAATCAGACACATACACTACAAATCATATGTCAGTGGAGCTTGTATTTTTAGATAAGGGCTCAAATTCCTTCTGGAGCTAAATATACACGCAGACACACATACAGTACAGTAAGGATTCAGACACACACTGGTATGTTTATATGTGCCTGCACATGCACATCTGTGTGCTTGTCTTATAAAAGTTGTAAATGTTTCAACTATTTTGTAAAAAGGGGTATGTGTTACTCTTTGCTGGCAAGCTAAAGTTCTGGATATGTAATTTACTTTAAAAAATAAAAATAAAAAAGTGCATATGTTAAAAAAGTTTTCAACAGAAAATTTTAAAACATGTTTTAAAAAAGCAGCTTCTGTGTAAAGTTCTTACCTGGTAGACAGGGCACAAAGAGAGCCTACAGCTACAGCATATTTGGCCCCTCCCCAGCCCACATAATTAAAAGCTACAGGAAGAGGGCTGTTGCTGTCCAGGAGATAGTATGGCATCATGAGAGTGAGGGCAGCGGACACACCAAAGTAAGCTACGAAACAAATCAACAGCGACGAAACAATCCCAATAGGTATTGCCCTTTGGGGGTTTTTCACCTCTTCACCTGTAGTGTGTAAAAAGATCAAATACAGTTTAGTTTATCATAAAACACAACCAGGTAATTACACCCATTATTAGCTCATAATAAATAATAAGAATGCAATAGGTGGATGCAGAATTTAAAAAAACAGATGAGGTTCCCGTATCATTGGGGTATCTCAACAGATTTTTCCAGTTTGGGCCCAACTTTCTGAGAATTTAAAGTGTGTTCTGAGCACAGTAGACTGAGAGGCAGAACATTGTGGTAGTGGTGGAGGGTGTGGGGGCATGAGGGAGGGAGAGGGGGAGGGAGGGAGGTTAAAACAAAATAATTTTGTACATCAAAATATCATTGTTTGAATTGTAATTTAAAAATTCTCAGTAAAACTTTCATTTAAAAAAAATGATTAGGTTAAATGGCTGCAAGTTAACCTAAAACAATTGAAGTTAAATTATGAAAAATTGTAAAATTCCCATGCAATTCTAGGTAGCTGAATTCTCCAACAGTTGTTGTGGGACTGTTGGCTAGTTCTTTCTATTCTGGCAGGAATCCAGTTCATGTGGAAAACTGAAACAGATGTATTTCAGACACAGAGTATATGTTTGTAAGAATATAAACACACAGCCTATATTCACTATGGGCCTAAAAAAAGCATGGCCAGATGAAAATATCAGCAATGTAGGTTTTTGTTTTAATACAAAGGTGAGGAGCTTCTTTAAAATGTATGCAACAGATGTGCTTCTGCAAGACAGAATTGAGCAATGCTCTAAAGGTTTATTCCATATGAGGTAATTACAACTCAGGAAAAGGAAGGTTCAGAAAAACCCCTGGGTCAGAAAGCATGTAAGTTTGAGGAGAGGAGTAAACATTGCATTTAACCCAACTTACATGCCTTGGATCAGTTACAGAAACCTGCTAAATTAGTGTACAAAGACAAAAATCAATGCAGAGATACAGATTAGACACAGAGGAGGTCTGGAATACATCTTGTTAAAGCTTCTACTCTCCGCTTCTTATGACACAACCCTCTGGCATCCTGCCATGAACAGAAGTTGGCTAAATGCATTAAAAGGGCAGCTTTTCTCTTTGTCTGGCTAAACTTACGTAATGCTAGCAACTGAAAGCGTTCCAACTCCAGATTCAATTTCATGGCCAAAGCACTAAATTGAGCATATAACTGAAAGACAGTCAAGAGGAGTTGAGAGAAAAGGGAGTAGTTCTGTTACAAATAGTGAAATGTTCGCAAATTACATTAAAGAATATATTCTCATTTAAGAGTAGGTCATTAATTTGTGAAAATATATGTAAAGCAAATGTACAAATTTTGAAGTTGTGACTCTAAGACTTTGAATGCATGTATGTATTCATAAGTCACGTTTTCTCTTTTCTCTTTGTTTGCTCTCAGTATATCACACCACAGAAATGTGTTTTATTAATCACCAATCTAAATTTGTATTATAAATATTCAAGGAAGGAGGGGGGCTTGCTTGTTCTGAGACTTAGAATACAAAGTGCATCTGTTTCTTTTGTGTATGGGTTGGAAGAGCCAGAGATTAGTTAAGGTGCCAAAGTCCACCAACAAAGAATAATTCATCAGTGCTGATGTGAACAGCAGAATCCAATCCATTATCTAGAGAAACAATTCCAATCCATGGGGGCTCCTAACTGCAACTTTAAGGTTCTGCTAATCTACTGCTGCTAGATTCGACAGCATTGTTCCTGATGTTTAAACTCCCAGTGATATGGCCAGGGCTGCTAAGGCCGCCAAACAAGTCCTAAAACACAATAAGATAGCTGGCCCCGATGTAATTCCTGATCTATGTAAGTTGCTATTAAAGGGTTGGGGAAAAAAATGCAGACTCAAAGCGGGAACATTTCAATAAATAACAATAACAAACACGACTGACCTGTGGTGGCAATGCAGTCAAAGCCTACAAAGGCATAGAAACAAGTAGCAGCTCCTGAAAGCACCCCAGTGAAGCCAAATGGCATGAAGCCGCCCTCTCCTAATCTCTCCTTGGATGGCAGAATGGCAGTCAGACTGCAAAGGTGAAATAATAGACATAAAATGTATTTCTATTAAGTATGAAAGCTATATGCATTGGGACATCCTTTGGTTAGTAGTCCTTACTTTTGACTTGAGTAATTCGTCTGATTGAGGATCTCATCCGGATCCACCTGCCAGTTCTTCAAAGAGCCTTTTACCAGGCCAGAGACCACCATGAATAACAAAACTAAAACATTGATACATGTAAACACCTTGTTCACCATGGCCGACTCTTTCACTCCAAATGCCAGAAGACCTTACAAATGAAACAAAACAGCAATGAAAGGGAGATACACATTTGAAATCTAAATTCATCATAAGGTTAATATTCTTTACTGGCCTTCTAAAATCAGCCTTAACAATCCCGTTATTATTTCACTTTATTAGGTATGACTGTTAAATTGCTTGTTAACACACATCACCATTCATACAGTCACATGGCATAAAGACTCAATGTATTTAACAATCTAGACATTGAAGCTGAGTGTAATGTGGCATGTTGTTGGTACCAAAGCATCGATCTGAGTATTTAATTAATTGCTGATTCATTTTTAAGTATATTTATCCTTCAGATTAACTTAATTTAATTTCTTAATTTCTTAAGGAAATTTCGTTTTGTTTACACTTGTGTATACAAAATGACAAAATAAAATCTGTCTAAGTCAAAGTCTAAGGCTAACTTGCATATAAATGCCTTGTTTATTTTAGAAGGTAGAGGGTAATAGGCAGACAGGCTAGAAATGATAGATTGTTAAATAGATCATTAGTTTTACTAATAATCATGTTACAACCAAGCTTTACAGGATACTGAAAATAAACACAAAACACCTTAAACCATTAAACTTATGGTCTATAGAAGCAGAGAAGGCTGACCAGATGCCATGACTCCCAGTTACAAATAGGGAGCTAGGGCTACAATTTAGCTAGGCCTTTCAAACTTGGACAACGTAAACATTTTAGCTGATCTGGTAAGTCTCAAATCGAACTGATTTTTTGAAATATTTCTATTAGTTCACTGTACTCATCCAAAGTCACTAGATCTGAATCCCATAGAGCTGTGGTTCCAAACTTTGTTTCTCGTGCACTCCTGCCTTGCATGTCTTAGATTTATCTCTGTTGAAGTACACCTGTTTCAAATAATTTCATGCCCTTCTCTATTTGTTAAGCCTGTTAATCAATCGTTCATATAAGTCAAGTGTGTCACAGTTCACAAATCTTCGACTTTTAGGGTACTGTGCATTAAAAAAAATCCATGTTAATCCTATGCCGTGGAAATTTTGTACAGGAATGTGGACATACAATCAAGATCTACATAATAAGTTGTTCAGTGAGTGTTAAGACAAAAGAAAATACAGAAACAGAGAGCTTTCCTACCTGTAAGAGTAACTATGATGAGAACAGCAAACATGTCAGGGTATTCTGCCAACACACCTGGTGCATTCATTGGCATGTACTCTCTACAGAACTGTTCAATGTGTCTGCCTACTAACTCATCAAAGGTGGCGCTCCATGCCCGTGCCACACTCGATGTACCTAGAGCACAGAAAGTTCAGTTCTCATTCTCACATTTAAAAAATCTGTTTACTGTTTAAATAAGGGGATATACCTATAATGTAAGAGAGTATGAGGTTCCATCCAGTGATAAAGGCCCAGAGTTCTCCTACTGTAACATACGAGTAAAGATAAGCTGAGCCTGTCTTGGGAACACGGGCACCAAACTCAGCATAGCAGAGTCCTGCCAACACAGAGGCTGAGGCAGCTATCAAGAAAGACAGGACGATAGCTGGACCTAAAAGGACAGAATATAGACAAGGGTTAGGAACTATTTTGTTCAAAAGTTACACATCAACAAGACTGATTAAATTACCTGAGTTGTCACGTGCAACAGCACCAGCAAGCACGTAAACGCCAGCACCCAACGTACTACCCACACCCAGGGCTACCAGGTCGAAGGTGTTGAGACATCGAGACAGACGAGAGTCCTCGGAATTAGAGTTCAAAGCCTTCACCCTTATCAACTTCTTTCCGAAATGCAGAAGTTTCTCTAGCACCATGGTTAACGATCTGGCCTCAGGAAGTTAAAGATGTATTTCAGGGTTCACAGGGACAAAAGGGGATGGCCACACACAACCTGAGGGGAGAAGAGGGATTCAAAGATTATATTCAGACTGAAGAATATCTGTGTGAGAATACAGAAAGTAGATGTTGAAGTATGCCTTTGGATACTGCTGATTTTTCTAAGGTTTAATAAATCTCACAAAGAACTCAATGAAATCTCTGTTGGGTGATAAATGTGGTTTCTGGGGGGGTATCATAGTGTGTGTCTTTCTATAAGCCAAAAACAGGGTGTTGATGAGAGAGGATGGAGTGTATGTGAAGACATAACTATTGCTGGGCATGTTGCTGATATGTTATATACACATAACTCACAGCAGAATAAAGGAAGCTCTTCGGCATATTGTTTATCAGAACATCCATATCAAATGACCTAATGCTACCTACCTCCACATGCTGGGGAAACTCTGAAGTTTACTCCTGCATAGTAACCAACATCCCTAATACTAAGAATAAATATTTAGTTGTTTCTTTTTTCCCCTTTTAGCAAAATGGTGAATTGTAAGTATATTTCTCTTTCTATTGATACATAGAAACATTTCTATATTCAATTTTGAAAAACATCTTCAGACTTTGCACAAATACACACTAGTTAAAATGTATTAAACAAATTTTAATTCTATTTCAACTCAATTCATTTCATATATATATATATATATATATATATATATATATATATATATATATATATATATATATATATATATATATATATATATAATATACAATCATTTTTTAAAACATGTCATCTCAAGGCACTTAACCAAGCCAAAATTGTCAAACTGCTTAGGAAAACCAGTTGATTACATCCAGTCATTGACTTGCAAGACATACTCCTCCTGGATGAGCTTGCAGTAACAATTTTTGCTTTGATTTTGTTGCCGACTCTTTAACAATTCCTCACACCGAGCATGCATGTAGCAGCAGGGGAGAGGAAAAACTCCCCTTCAATAGAAAGAAACCTTCAGCATAACCAGGCTCAGTGTGAGCAGCCATCTGCAGAGTCTGACTGAGGAAGCAGATGTACAAAAATGTAACTGTTCACTTGCTCCACAGGTTTCTCCATCCGGGAAAGACACAGCCAGGCACACAAACTTCAAGCCAATTCTCTTGTCAGAGGATGAAAGAGGATAGACATGGTAAATCACAGTAAAAGAAACAGAACTACACTGGAAACAGACCAAGCTCCAACATATAAAGAGATATCTGAATGACAGCAGCACAGCTGATATTTCAATCAAGGATAGAGTCACAGCTGGACAGGAACAAACCAGATAAAGCTACTGTGATGAGGAAAAGTAGAGAGAGCATAAAGTAAGGAGTGAAACTTGATGAATACTGCAGATTGGGAGAATAGACATAGAATGAAGAAGAATGAGCAAAAGAGATCCCTGTGAGATCCAGCAGCATAACCATATAGCAGCACAAACACAGAAAGTAGTTTAGGATAAAGTAACTACCTTTGATGAGGTATAAGAAAGGTAGAGCCACAATAGGGCCAAAATAGAGCCAAGGAGAAAGGACTGAAATTCTCCTCTGCCAGATCAGGCTGTAAACACTACACCTCCACCTGCCTCTTTACTCTCCCAGCACCTAACCCACGTTGTTTTCAGGAAACCACCAACACAACCAGCAGTTGAATGACGAAATGCGGCTAAACATGTAATCTCTGGTCAAATCAGGAAGGGGGACCAGAGAAAATTACGGAGTCCGACACTGTTTTGGCAAACTTAAAAACCGAAGCAACACTAATTTCAGTGACCTCCGATCTTGGTAAACAGGTGTAATTACTGCCAGTGTTAATATAAACCTACTGTAATTTAAATGTATCCGTAGGCCGTAGTTTCAGGTAGGATTTATTGTTGCTTATTCTGGCCCCTGGCAAAAATTTGACTATGGTCCTTGGTGCCTCTAATGCCACGTTTATGACTATGGAGCTGCCAATTACCAGAGTAGGCTTCTCAGTTAGTATATCAATAGGCAAGGAAAATTGGTTGGCGGTTAACAGTGGGCAAAGCTCTATAACTACGCTTTCTGTGTACCATTACTAAATAATTTTTGGTACCTGCCTTTTGAACTGCTAAAGAACCATTATAAGAACGTGTTGCTGGTCTCAGTGGGTCCTATGTGTTAACTGGTGGGCATGGTCTAACCCCTGGATGTTAAACAGCCTGAAGCGAGACTTAGACACCTTAGAGACACCCTTTGTCATGATCTTGGCACTGATGCCTGGTCTGATCACTCATTTTACACACCAGATTAGCTCCGCCAAGTTCTCATTACCCACTTATCTGATCCGACTACATTAGCCTCTGTTTAACCAGCCTTCAGACCCGTCATCAGTGCAAGATTATTTTGAGCCGTAAGGTGAGGCTTACTCTAGTCTTCTGATTGCCTGATCCTGATCAGTTCTCCCTCTCGGCCACTGAGCCTGCCTGTTCCCGTATGACCTGTTTGCCTGACCTGTCTTTTGACTCCTGCCTGATATCTGCCCGCATGTGTACCGACCGGAACATTTTCCCGACCACTGAGTCTGCCTGCCCTCATCTAGCCTGTTAGCCCCATTATGTATGGAACCTGGAACTGTTACCTGACTTTTTCTCGGATTTTCCTTTGGTGCCTAAACAGAACTCTGACCTCCTGGCTCTGACAACCGACGACGTCTCTGACATAGGCTTTGGCTTCGCCCTTTTGGATTATCCTGCCTACATCCATCTGCTTGGTTCTCATCCTGCCTGTCCTTTGACCTCTGGGACTCAATGTGCAGCAACTGCTGGACTCAGACTGAACTAAAAGACCAGGTTAGTGACTCAATCGTTTGTGATCATCCACCTCCAGAAAGACGTGGTCACTAACGTGCAGTCTTCACCCGCAGAGGTTTGTGCCTTAGACGCCGATGCCGTCCACCTGGTTCTGTTGTCAGTAAAACGTTCTAAGAAATCTTTTTTGTCCACCTCAAATTACTGGATCTTTCTTTTGTGAACTCTGACACCCTTGTCTCTAAGGGCAAGAAAAATATTACACTTGTGCCATTATCGCTACAGGAGGCAGAACTGAACTTAAATGAAGTGAAGTTCGAAAATAAGGCAAACATTTACAGGTAAGAATAAAAAAATTCTAGTGTAGTGAGTGTTTCTTTGGCAACTTCTGTTTTCTTAATAATTAGAGGGAAAAAAAATCTTTGTAGTCATTTATAAAGGTTGGCTATTAGGGCAGTTTTTTTTCATTCAATTATCACAGACATTTCCAGCAGTGATACAGAAATTTTTGTGAGCATCAAAATGTTCTCAATTTCATATAGCTTAATGTAAAATCAAATTAAAGGAATACAAAGTTTCAGCTGAAATAGAAATTCCAAAAAAGTAAAAAAAAAAAAAACAATCCACTGGACTTTGTTTCCAAGTTTGAAGACCTTTCGCTTCCCATCCAGGAAGCTTTTTCCAAACCTTTTCAATTCCTGGATGGGAAGCGAAATGTCTTCAAACTTAGAAACAAAGTCCAGTGGATTGTTTTTTAACCATTTTGGAATGACTGTGACCTGGATGACTGAGAATCTTCACCAGCTGGAAAAGAAAATGTGTCAAACAGGTTACATTGCTTTTGACAGGCCCATTAAATCAGACTTCTGCAGTTGTGTTTCAACTACGTCAGGATAAAAACCACCAATCCCTAAACATTTCCAAACAATTTTGTGCAAGAAGAAGAAAAAACAATCATATGGGGAATGTCATGAAAAGCAATGTCTCACAGAACAAACGAAAAATCTCTGCACACCTGTGAAAGATTTCAACTTTTTCATCAAGGCATATAAATTATAGAAAGAGGAGAGAAGTTAGAAACAGATAAGTCCTGCACTGACAACAATAAACAGAAAAGCACTTTTCAATAAAAGTGGGTAGAGCTTACAAAGATAATCCTGCAATGATCAACAGCCATAGAACAGAGAGCTATGCAGGGGTATCGGGCAATGGCTGCCATGGACCATAGACCACAGGTTCTACACAAAGACCAATGAGGGGAAAGAGAGCATGAAAAATATTTAAAGAAAAAATATATATATATAAAAAAATCAGACTGCATATGGACGATGACACAAGGAAAAACAGCTTAAACTCCAATAGTTTGTATATAAACGTTCTTATGTCCGACAGAGGAAATTACCCGAGTAGAGTGACTGACACACAGTGACGCTGTAACACCGTGACAGATGTCACCCTTGTCAGAACAACATGACATGATGGCATAAACAGAAAGGTTACCGTGTACACAATGTACTCTCTCCTACTTACTGCCTGGAAACATTCAGGCACAGGTTTCCAACTTTGAAATTTGGAACCCAGAAAACATTCGATAGGTTATGTATAGCAAAACAATAATTTTGTCAGAAATATTTATAAGGTCATCAGAAGGTAAAATATCTTGAGCACAGATCAAGGTAGGTCACTGCCAGCTTAGATTTATGGAACTAAACAATGCTAAAGCCATGATTATACTGTATGCCAACAATTTAAGTTTGTGGCAGTTAGAAATAATCTGTAATAAAATTAGAATATTCCAAGTATGGTCTAATAATACTAAATACTGCTTTTTTTTTCTTTTTTTTTACAGTTGTCTCCATCCAAGGTCTCTAAATACCAAAAAAACATTGAAATGTATAGGGCACCTTATCTAGATTAGCTATAATTTAGGATGTATACTGATGTGGTTTCATTGGAAAGGTACTAAATGCTAACCTGACTCCGCCAGATGGATTTGCTCCGCATATCCATCTGGAAACCTTCCGTTGAAGTAATTTTGGGAAGGGGCGAAAATACTGGTTAGCCGATTGGCCTATGTTGGTGATAGACGGGCCAAATAAACCAATCGGATCAACGAAGCATATGACGTACTAACGAGCGACGACGAAAACACAACAGCAAGCCAGGCCACTCTTGCTGAAACCA